GAGAGAGAGAGAGAGAGATTAGCGATTTACCTATACCAAGCCAAGTTACAAAGCTGTTTGTACTTTGCTTGGTATAGGTATAGAATATTGCTGGCCAATGTACTTACTATTAGTAAGTTGGAGTAGTAAAGCCAAGTGTCATCTCAATATTAAAATTATATTTTACTGAATAAATTAAGAATTATTAATCATTCAAATGAATGCATATATTAAACACATAAGTATTATTAAATATGCAAAATAACAATTCTAACATATTTTGGATTTACTTTTAATTGTGAACAATTTTTTTCCCTAATGAAATTTATTTAAAATGACAAAACTGGTAGTATTTGCGAAAAAACATTAAGATCACTTTTGAAAATATGGTCGTCAAATACAATTGAGTCAAATATTGATAAAATTGTTGATAATCGCAAACAATATCATAAATCTCATTAAAATGTGTATTTAATAATTAAATTTTGTTTTAAATGACTTTATGGATAGACTAAAAGCCAAACATTTATAAAAATGGGTGAGAAACTATTAGGTTGACCTTCACGTGGTGTTTCTTGTTTAATACTGACAAACCTAAGCTTTTTACTGACCGTTGCGCCACCTTTTTATAGCACACTGTAAATCTGGATCTGTGATATTCTAAAAAAGATTGGCCAGGCTTATGTTATATCAATAATAGATATAAAATCATTACAAGGAAATTGTTAGTTATATAACTTATTTTAATGGTTAAGTTATTTAGTAAATACGTTAAAATCTAGATATTTATGACCGTAAGTAAAACTTATACCGCAATTAAATATATTTACGCAAAACATTTAAATCTAAACCACAATTGTTTGCGTTAAAAAAATTAAACACTTATTTGTTAAACAAAACCGTTTGCAATAGTTTTGAATGAAACTAAAACATTAAAACAAATAAAATACTTTTGATTAATGTAAAATAAATTGTCCAATAATTTACCTCATTATTAATGGTAATAATAAACTGAGTGTCACTTTTCTCGGACTCAATGTCTTTAATACAATCACTACTATTGTCGCCGACGGCGCCGTTGTTGGCACTGTTGGCGGCCGTACTGTCCGTATGGTTCGCTCTATTCTACCGACGCTTTCGGCTAATTGTTAAACAAATCGATGCCATTCCCGGTCCACCCGTTCCTAACCCACTGACCGGTCATTTGCAACTTTTTCGCCAGAGTTCAGGCAAATCCGATTGGTTTCAACGTAAGTACATTGTTATTCATGTTTATTATTTATACATTTTTAACTTGCTTTTAATTCTAAAATCTTATAAACTATAAACAATAATTATAAATAATTAAATACTCAATATAAAAAAAAGTTATTCATTTACTTTTGGGTGACTGAGTTAACAAAATTTTGGATCTCTCTCTCTCTCTCTCTCTCTCTCATTTATTATAACAAAACATTGTTATAACAATCAATAAAAACATAACAATTAATGTATATATCATAAGATTCATACTTCAGATTATTTTGTATAAAAATCCAAAAATTAATAAATGTTTTGTAAATTTTATTAGAAATTTTCAATACATTTGTTGGGATAACAAAAGTATATCAAATGAAAAACGAGGGCATAATGCGGGTTTGGGTTGGGCCCACACAACCCATGGTCATTATATTTGACGCTGAATTGGCCGAGGTAATATTAAGATATATTATTATTTTTACATTGAATAAAGTTACATAGTTAAAGTATATCCATTACTTTGTTTCTATTAATTAAAATAATAATTTAGTAAGTTCTCAGAATTATATAATGTTAATGTATTTTATATTTTCATCAAGGTACTGTTGACTAGTAATACAAACATTGATAAATCACCCGAGTACGATTTTGCTGTTCCATGGCTGGGATTGGGTTTATTTACCAGGTACAATATATTTATATTTTCAAGTATAATCTTAATACAAATTACAAATACACATTATGAAAAAATGCCTTCTAATATTACTAAAATATAGAGATGAAAAGTGCACACAAAATGAAAGTAATCTCTCTCTCTTTCTCTCTCTCAATAAAATATTTAACAGAAAACTGTAACAAAATAATTGTTATGAAATTGTGAGCATAAATAATTTTTATTAAAAAATGTTTTCATAGTTTTAAGTCTAGTTTATAAGAGTGTAAATGTATTGCAATACAAAAGGGCTATCAATGAGAGTGTGTATCAAATATGAGCTCAAAGAGTGTGTATAAAATATTTATAAAACAAGNCAATACAAAAGGGCTATCAATGAGAGTGTGTATCAAATATGAGCTCAAAGAGTGTGTATAAAAAGGACTATAAACATAAAGTACCATGGTACAACAAACAGCGCTGTAAAAATGGTTAACCAAAATATGATCATAAAGTGTATGATAGCCCAAAAAGTCCTTTTGTTATTTTAAATGTATCATTAAACAGTACTAGGTAGTTATATATTTTGGTTAAGGTAAACAAACTTAATTCAATTTGTCAAATTATAAGTATTTATATTTTGACAGTGTAAATAATTTTTTGTGCAATATAGGATTTTATTACATTGTAATTTATCAACATCAGACTCTGAATCTGAGCTAGTATGTTATAATTATAACTGTAACTTATCTGGATGTTTACTTGTTTTATAAATATTTTATACTAGAATGATTTAATTGCATAAAAATTTTAGACAATCATGCTTAAATTGAGCTAAATATCAAGTGACGATCTAGTACTTTATAAAATAATTTTGTAATAACAATTTTATATGGTTTTATAAAATTGTCATTACAAAATGATATAATATTAAATCTGTGCTAAATAGTTTTATAGTTATAACATGTATGTTAATAGTTATAAATTAGTATAAAGTATTTATTTAATAAAACATAAATTGAAATTGATAAATTCCAGTAAACATTTTAAAATTAAATGAATAGCACGGGTGACCGATGGCGTGGGCACCGCAAAATGTTGACCCCGGCATTTCACTTCCGGATACTGGAGAGTTTTGTGCCCATTATTAATAAACAACAACACATCATGGTCAAAATTATCGACGATATGTACGCTACAAACGGTGGTGTTGTTGACGATGTCCGGCCACTCATCACAAATTGTGCCCTCGATATCATATGCGGTATTATTTTATTAGGATTAAACTTAATTTATAAAGTCTCATCACTATATATGCGACCTCTATATAAGTACAATTAATTATAATGCAAATTTAATATAAGAAACATTCATTTTGTAACAATATATTTTTATATAGAGGTCAGATTGTTTATTATTAAATAGTTAAATTATATTAATGATCATTATAATCATGTTCAAATAAACTACTCTGCCTTATAGAGACAGCAATGGGTGTTAGTATTGACGCTCAGACGGACCCGGAGTCCAAATATTCAAAGGCTGTGCGCAAAGTGTTGGACTTATTTACGGTACGTTTCCTGAGTCCATGGCTTTGGAACGACACGGTATTCCAGTTCAGCCCTACCGGCGCTGAACAGCGAAAGACCATTAAGTATTTGCACGACTTTACCGATGCTGTGAGTATACAGTTTGGTAGCAACCTTGTAATAGTGCTTGTAACAAGATTATAAATTGTAACGCAATCATTACAACTTATTTGCAGCAAATAAATTCATTTTAGTTAAAATATTATTGGATACCAACGATATGTGTGGTTTTACTATACTGTAACATGCTGTTTTTGAGATAATTTTTAAAGTTATTAAGTAAATTTTATAGTTAAATTATATAATTATAAAAATGATATGCATTACAATAATCTTTTATTAATTGTAAATAACTTAACTTAATGATTGACATTTAATTAATTATACAATTAATTATATCTAGGTAATCCAACGCAAAAAGAAGGAAATCTTACAGCGCTTAAACGCAGAGTCAACCGACGGTTCAGCCCCGGGGGCTGACATCGACCAGACTATGAACGATATCGGGACCAAAAGGGTGTTAGCATTTCTCGACAATTTGTTGACACAGAATATCAAAAATCCGGAACAGTTTACCGAACGGGATATTCGGGCAGAGGTGGACACCTTCATGAGCGCCGGTCAGGACACCTCATCGGCCACAACACAGTTTGCCCTTCAGCTCATTGGCCATTACCCCGATGTTCAGGTTAGTGGCACTGATTTTGTAAAACATTTCAAACAATAATAAACAAACTATTGATTTAATGATTTAATAATATTAAGTTAATAAAATATAAATAAATATTAATAATAAATAGTATTAAAGTGGCATTATAAGTAACGATAAATTGTTACATAAAAATAATTAGTCTAAATTAATTTTGAAATATGGTGCAAATTTTTTAAAACTAATACTGTATTTATATCTTATAATTAAAGATGTGCATAATAATTTAGTACTGGTTTAAATGTAAAACATTGTAAACTGTAACACTGTATGGTAAATACAAGTTATATATAAATAGATATATTTTAATTATAATATTGGTTCAATTGATAACGCTGTATTCTTGCTCAATTTTGTGTTACTTTTTTTATTACCAAATTGAAATTTTTTTTATAAAATAAATTATGAGTATAGATTAATTACAATTAGTCATTAAAACATTACTATTTACGACACCTTTACTATGTCTAGAAACTGTAACACTGTATTTAACGTGAAAAAGTATATATAAATATGAATAATTAAATATGTAAATTCGGGTAATAACTGCAGAGATATATTTTTACCTATTTTATACTAGGTTGCATATTTTGTTTCATTTATTAATTATTAATTATAAAATAATCTATTATTGACGTTAAGTAAATTAGTAAAAAAATATTATCTAGGCTAAGATACACGAAGAACTAGACTCTATCTACGGTGACGATCCAACCAGGGACATTAAGTTTGACGATTTGCGCCACATGAAATACCTGGAAAAATGCATTAAGGAGGCTTTGCGTATATACCCACCCGTCCTATTTATTGCCCGGCGTATTACCGAGGAGTTTAAGATTAAGGATTACAGTATACCCGCCGGCACTAACTGTATGGTCCTGTTTTATCAATTGCACCGTGATCCTAAATATTTCCCAAACCCTGAAGTGTTTGACCCTGAACGATTTTCCGCCGATAGCACCAATACGCGACACGCATTTGCCTACACCCCGTTTAGTGCCGGACCTCGTAATTGTATTGGACAAAGGTAAAATTATAAATTTTATATATATATTAATATTATGGTAAATTTCTTTTATTAAATATGCTTTTATAGATGAGTTAGTAACTGTTATAAATAATATTAATAGAAAATAGTTGTTTGTAACGTGAAAATTATATATTATAAATTGGAGATACTTTGGCTCGATTATACTTTCCCGTCTTTTTGATTTAGCCCAACAACATATATATTTTTATGATCAGTTAATTGTTATAATAATCAAATTAATATACAATTATATTATATATAGTTCATGAATTACAATTAGTTAATGATTTTTAAAATTGAATTTATATATCTTCTATGACAAATAATTTATATAAAAATTATTTTAAACTTGAAAAGTTATTATTTTATGTTATTGGCTTAAATGGAAACCTAGTTCCTTGACGGTGAAGGCGTGTAGCCAAAATTCTGAAATTAGTTTCATAATATAAGTTAACATCGATAGGCACCAGAATCCAAGTTTCATCAAGATCGGGTGAATATTTTAAGAACAGGATTTTTTCAAAGTTTGTCGGTCGTTTTAATGTATTCCTATGAGAAGGGGTCCATTTTTGTATTGACCGATGATTAAAATCACAGTTAAATTGATCATGTTCAAATACTGATAGAGATAATTCAAAACCCTTCCTCTTCTGAGACCTTTGATATCCAATGCATATAACAATATGCTATTCATTGGCCAACATTGACCGCTACCCCAACTGTGGCCACACACAAATTGGCGATTAATCCGATTGGCGGCCTGTGTTCGGTCGGTTCGCAATTGATTTCCGTTATAATTAATGTCATGATATCTGCACTAAACTGTTGTCGGATAACTAATAGTGAATCCCAGTAACCAAATAATCACTTTAAACACATCTTTGGTAAAAATATTTTAACTTTAAAAATGAGATAATTTTTAGTCAAATATTTTGTTGTAAATTTTTCAAAATAATTCCGAGCGACAAACTTTGAAAAATTCCTGTTCTTAAAGTATTCACCCGATCTTGATGAAACTTGGATTCTGGTGCCTATAGATGTTAACTTAAATTATGAAACTAATTTCAGAATTTTAGCTACACGATGTCGTATTCAAGGAACGAGGTTTCCATTTAATCCAATATATTTAATTTATAATATAAATAATGATTTTTAATTAACATATATAATAATTTTGTTGACTTTTCAATTATCTTTATATAATTTTTAACATTATATATTTCTTATATTTATAATAGATTTGCATTGCAAACAGTAAAGGCTTTGTTAGCCAGCATATTACGAAAGTACCGTATTCAATCGCTCGTACCATTGGACAAGGTTGAATTGGCCATTGGCACCACAATGGGTCCTAAAAATAAAATTACCCTCAAGTTTGAGTTACGTTAAGCTAAAGTTCTAAATGGAATGTAAAATAGCATAGAATTATATTATAAAAATTATATCTACGTAAGTAGTGTATTAAAATGACTATGATAAATTATCATTAATAATTGTCATATTGGAATAATTATATAATAATAAGAAAATTGTACTTTATATGCTTAACAACATGTAAATTGTCAAATGTATTAAGTATTTAATTTTAGATAAAATCTAAACAAATAATAAATTATAATTATCCAAAAATTAATTAATTTGTGTAAGTTTTTAAAAATTAAAAACACATAAAATTATATAAGATTTGTACTTTATCATTGTTTAATTTTGTAATTATATTTACTATTTTTGAATTAAAATAAAACATTTAAACACAGTTACAAAATGCATTAAAATAATATAAAATAAGTTAATAACTGCAATAAATTATATAAATTCACAATATGTATTTATATTTTAAATAATGTAATAGTATTTGGTGTAAATCAACCGGTTGAAATGTTTTTAAAAATTTATTACTGCATCAATTGTTAGACTAAACATTTAAATTTTATTATGTATTAATGTTAAATAATGTAAGTGATAAAATGACAAAATACAAATTTTACAATAAATTTATTGTAGCGCATTACTAAATTATTTTTTAATTAATGTAAAACAAATTGTTTTTTAATTACCTTCATTGTTATAGGTAATGATAAATTGACCATTTTTTAAACTCAATGTTTTTAATACAATCACTACTATTGTCGCCGACGGCGCCGTTGTTGGCACTGTTGGCGGCCGTACTATCCGTATAGTTTGCTTTTTTCTATACATGCTTTTGACTCATTGGTTGCCTCAAAATAAATCATCATTTTATTTATTGTGATGTTATAGTCAAGTATTTTTAAATAAGTTAGTACCTGTTATAAATTATAATAATTCACAATTGTTATACGTAAAGATATAATTATATTATAACAATTGGAATTTGACTTTAAGTAACTATTACTTAACATTAAAATTACCATTTTGTTAAACTGAACTTGTTATTGTAAAATATTGTTGTAAAATATTTAATATATTTTTTAATATAATGTAGAATTCAAACCTGTTCGTCCCTTACCCTGTTAATAATAAGACGAGATTAATATCTCACATTTATAATTTTAAAATATTACTCACAAGTCAATATAAAAGTTATAATATTAGAGTATAAATCATAATATTATAAAATTTACGTAAATTAATATTAAAACGACTTTATTAATAATTTAATAATTGTAGGAGATTAGCAATAATGTTTAAATAGACATGTTTATCTACTGTAATATTATATTTATAACTTATTTACTATGTATCTACGTTATATTAATTAGTAATCTATATTATTTTTTGGAAATAATAACTCTCTCATACATTTTACTATTTTAAAATAATTTTGTTAAATTTTCTAACTTAATGTGTAGATTAAATAATTTTAATAGTAACAAATACACAATGACACTTTTATTAATTATAATTTTAACAATTTTATACATTTAATATTAAATTAAACATGATTGTCATCCTTAATCATTTGCGCGCATTTCTCGCCAATCATAAGCGTTGGCGCATTTGTGTTGCCATTAGTTATGAGAGGCATTATAGAGGCGTCGCAAACACGCAAACCATCGATGCCTTTCACTCGGAGTCGGGGGTCGACCACAACATCCTTGCGGTCGACGGAACCCATACGACACGTTCCCGACGAATGAAAGCCCGAATCGCAGTACTGGTCAATTAGGCACCGGATATACGAATCGCATTCATAGATAAACCCTTTGGGACAGTACTGACA